CAGCACTCGCCCATCAGAGAGAATCACTGTATGTCCTACTCAAACACCAGAGGGAGCCTTAAGTGTTCTCTGTTTATTTACTTCTTCCTCTGGCAATATACATCCTGATTTCATCTAAAAACAAAGTAAGGTTTGTCAGGCAGCCCAGCTCTGAGCATCACAGGTTTTAAGTTAGACCTGAAAATTCTGCGAAACCCAGGAATGTATTATGATAGCATATTTAAAACAAAATGAAGCTGAAAGAACAACATATGAGCTTAATTATTTGGAAAATTACATTATACAATTACCACCCTTCTCTGTCCTTTCTCCTATTCTCTTTCATGCCTTAAAACCTATCTTGGTTGGCTGACAGTAAGTGCAATGCAGCTGAATGTAGGCCTGCATGGGCTCGATCATGTACCTAGCATCCAAAACTGTCTTGGAAGTTTGTCAAGTGCATGGATAGCACTGTGAAACCAGAAATCAGCAATCTTATGCTAGAGATACATCTCAAGAAGAATTACAAACTCAAGCTACACAGACAACTTTAAAAGACAACAATCCTGTAGTGTTTAGCCTTGCACTGATTATTTAGCCACCTGAGCCTTAAAATCTGGCACTAGTTGCTGAGTCAAAATCTCAGACTAGTTGTATCCTATCATTCTGCAGCATTGGAAAGAGGGAAATCAACCAGATTACCATGGACAGAGCCTTCTTAATCTGAAATCGAGACTGTTTTTGCAGTGAGATTACAATGTTAGAGTGCCACCTGTGGAGTCAGCAGATGCCAGTATTATCTGAAACCTGGAAAGTAGTTAGAGAAAGTTTGATCTTCAAATAATAAATATTAATGAAAAAGACACATTATTTTTAGAACATCAAATGCTTTTCCATCTCAGAATTCACTGTTCTTTCCCATTCTGTGCAAAGAAGATTGTGCTGCAGTTGGCTTCTTTCAAAGGAAACAATACAGCAAATAACCCAAAGTCCAGCTGATGCACTTCTGGATAAATGCACACCTGCCTCACTGGAAGTAGGTCCCAGCAATACACACCATGCAACCTTCTGATGCCAGCTCCTGTATAAAAGTTAAAAGCTCCACCTTCCCTCTGACATGACACATTTATTTATTAGACATAAATACGATGTTTCTGATGCAGTCATTGACAGGTAGGAACTGATGTCAGCTGGTACTTACAGTGCCATGTCTCACACATCTGAAATCCCTCTCCCACTATGCTGCATGACTGCTAAACAGAATTCCTCCTCAAAAAGGTTTCCTTCAAGCACTTTTGTTTGAGACAAACCTTAAAAGGTACAGAGCACCTGCAAAACTCCAGGGATTTCCAAAGCAGTGCTAAACCTCAAGCTTCTGGAACCTTCCTTTTCTTTAAAACAAATCAAATTGAGGAAAAAAAAAAGGAAGAAAAAATAAACAATTTACAGTACACTGTGGACCTTAAAATTAGCTTAACCAGTATACTTCTGCTTCCCCTGAGATGCATCATAATGTGTATTTAATGAAATCCTCCTTTTCCCTACATCCCTAGCTGTTTTATATACTATAAATTATGGATGAGCTTCTGTTTATATATGCAATCTTTATGCTGTAAAATAAAGACCACTAATACAGCACTTAAAACACACCAGGGTGCCTTCACTCCATCAACGTTTAAATGGGATACAATTTGCCAACTGGTCCTTTGCTCTCTGGCTGGCAGTGATGCATGGCAGGCGAACTGGACTGAGAGAACAGAGAAGCATCCACCCATTGCTCTGCACTCCTCCCATCCCAACACAGCACAGCCTTTGCTTATTGGTAATGAGAAACAGATGGTGCCATCCATCTCTTTTTATGAGATGAGGAAATAAAATATTCAGCCCTGTTTCACTATTTTTAGCCTGGGCGAAGTTTCTCAAAGAAATCGAAGATGGAAAAAAAGGAGAAGAGAATGTCTATAGCTACTAGCACACCACAGTACTGCAGCTGAACAATTAATACTATAGTTTGGAAGGGGAAAGTGAGGAAATTTAACTTATTTAATCACTTTTTCAAAGCAAGTGATTTTGGATGAGCAGGGAGGTAATGCAGAGCTTTCAGAGACTACTGGAAGTTTCTGGCTAATATGAATGAGCTGTATACAAATAGCTGTGATAAAAAGAAAAAATTCTTGGCAGGCGATATCTGTGTTTATTACAGCACTCCCCAACTCTGTAAGGAGTGACTTTGGTAATAAAAAGCAATGCAACAATAAACATGGGTTTCTAAAGGCCAGTGTTACAGCATGCAATTGTTGTGTGTTTTATGTTATTATTTTCATTGTGCTAGCAAAAGCACATCTATTATCTTCAGCACAGAAGACAAAAAAAAATTCCTCTAAGATAAATTTTCAGTTTTAAATTATGAAATTCTGACTGCCTTAAGATTTGCAATCCTTACCTCCCTTTCCCCTGCATGCCTGTCTTTCTGTTAATCTGCCTTTGCTAATTTGTTAGCCTCTATACCCAAGAAATACTTGAACAGGGGAAGTTCTAGTTAAATAACCTTTATTGGGAAACAGGTTCCCATACCTAACTCTGTCACAGTAATAGTCTCCTCGGATAGCTTTGACAGAAAAAAAATGAAAACTTGTTCTTCTTCTTCCTTCCCTTTGGATTGTTGTGGCTACTGTGTCTGTCCACAAAAACCTTGGTTACACTAGGAACACCTGTGCTAATAAATCTGTTGCAGCAGAACTCTTGTTAGTTGTGGTGTGTACTAATATTAAAAGGTTTTTATCATTACAGGCAGATCTCTGCCTAAACTAAACTGATCACACACAGATCAATATTAGGATGTGTATACAGAAATCAAGAGTTTGGGGTTTTTTTGTCAACTTAATGTCATCAGTTAGGAACTAAGAAAATTTCACTTATTGTAGTGGAATCCAAGAAGATTTGCTGTTACAGACTTGGACTCAATAGTTCCTGGGAGGCAGTAGGGAGCTTTGCCTGGAATGGGCAAAGGGCCTCTTTGCCAGCTTCTGTTGGGTTTTGTTAAGGAAAGAAAAAAAACTGCAATTCTTTTGGCAGAAAAGATAACTTTGTCACATAATATACAGAAGTGAAAGTGATGTGGTTTAGTCCTGCAAATCTACTGACAGATGCATGCTTCCCATTTGTCACTGAAGGAAAACAAAGTGGAACGGGAAGCAAGTGCAGAAAAGGAATTTGAGTTGTTTCAGCACTGTTGATGCGAATCAAGCAGGCTGTAAGTGCTCTACATTCACTCTGCACAAATTGCCTTTCAGTAGACTTTCCAGTGACTTTAATTGTGCTATCTAACAGCCTAACACAAGTGCAACTATCTTAGCTGTGGGAATGACAGGATGACACTTCCTTTATAAGAGTGTCTGGTCATACTAATAAAAATCTCCTCTATTCAGAGCAAAGCAAAAACAAACATATACACACTTCAAAGGAGAAAAGAAAAAGATAACACAACCCTAGCAAAGTAAAAGGCAGAAACTAAATTTATGGGAGAGATGAAACAAGTCACAGCAGATGGCCAAATTCATTCGTGTTCCTTACAACACTCTGGGAAGACAGTTGGAACAAATGGTGAAAAATGTGGCAAAAGACTCTGTACAAAGAGGTGGAGTGTCCTTATAAAATACTGTACACATCTGGATCTCTAGTACTGACTGATGGCTACAGAGGTTTTGAAGTTGTTTGCACCTTAGTGTGACATTTCTGCTTCTCCAGTATTTTCACAAAGTCTACTATAACTCAAATCAATGAGCCTCCCTCTGGCAAAAAAATCAGGAATAAATTGTTACTTCAGAAATTTCAAAATGTATTGAGTTCAAAGTTCAGTTTCCAAATGCAGAACAGGCTTCTGGTATAATGACTGAGGGTTTGAACAGCATATTTCTCTGAGTTCTGTCCTTAGGAAATAAACCTCATTTGAGACAGACACAAAATTAACTCTCTCTCTCCTGGCCTTTATATTCCACAAACAACTCATCTAGGAGGGACAGAGCAAAGCACTTAAATCGTGCTCACCCTGACTTGCGATCACTTAGTAACAGTGGGACATTACAGGCAGTACCCCTTCATTTTGCAAATAGTTAGAAGACTAGGATGCAAGTCTGTATCTCAGCAACTCTGGCCCACAGTCAATATTCTGGCATAAATCTGTTCTCACTGGGAGTGTAAGTGAGCAAACTTAGCTGGGAACTAGGACATAGCCCATGTTCAGTTCTGGTGGTTCTGCTTAGCGGGGGAGAGGTGGTTACTGGAAGAGCAGCAGGACACTTGGGAGCAGCAGCTTAAACCACAGTGTCAAAATGCACTGGAACTAAATCATCGGTCACTGTATTCCCTCTCTGATTGTCAAAGTGCTTGTCCAAGCCTACAGCTTATTTTCACTGTTTTTTACTTGCTGCTCTCTTAAAACTGTTACTAATGCAGCTTGTCAGATTTTCTTCAGCTTTATAGCAGGAGATAAAGACATTGTGCTAAGAAATAAGTGGAAGGAGGAAACACTCTTTAGTGTAAGACATAAGTGGTGCTCTGCAGCTGAGTTTCCTTTTTTGTTTCTGGTGGTGGCTGTTTTCTGTAAGATGGCTAAGGAGAAAAAGAAACATTACAGAAACCTAACTTTATACAAAAGAGAACATAACAGTCAGTGAAGACTTACACAAAAGTTAAGTGAGCAGAAAAACTGTTTTGAGGAATAAACACTGAAGCATTGAGTCCTGTTAGCATTCAAATCAAGCAGTGAGACTGCTCATATCACAAACTTAGTCCTCCCCAGCACAGTCACCAAAACAACACAATGTCTGTGATGTACCTCCATGGCCCATGCGATGTTAGGAGAGCATGCAACTGAGTGTCAGCTTGTCCAGACACAGAATTAATGCTTGTTCTCTGCAAGTCTCTATGTACCATTTCAGGCAGCAAGTATATTTATCCATGACTGCAATCTTCTGGCTTTGTGCCCCAGAAAGCAGGGATAGCTGTGCAGTGCCACTCACCCACAAGGTGTAGGAGCCCCTGCGGCTCCCTGGGAATGTCAGCATGCTCTGGTCCGAGACGGCGCCGGACGCCAGGCCGCTGCTGCGCGATGGCGGCCATTCCAAGTCAGCCTCAGCCTGCTCGGGTTTGCTCTTCTGCTTCTTTATAATCTGCAGGGTATGGGAGAAACGGGGTGGGAGGGAACAGAAAAATGATGCTGGGGAAATACTGTCTGAGCCATAAGGGGAAGATCTAAATGAACCCCAACTTAAGGCAAGCTCCCCAGGAAAAGCATTTGACTTTCCCTCTGCTCTAGCTCCAGCTCATGCAACTACTTCTCATCTGAAGTCCTACCGCTTGCAAGCACATAAGCAGCAATGCAATCTATAACAGTGCCTGTAGGAATACCAGAGGTGAATTACATAAACATAGAAACCTGTTGCTACAGTAACACTTTAGCAGCATCTAAGTGTCAAGTATTTTCTCAGACAAGACTTTTTGCCAAGAAACATAAAATACTAGATATGAGGGGAATTTCAAAGGCTCCCATGACATGCAGACACGTTCTAGTGACAACAAAGAGGTCTAAGGTCTCTAGACACTATTTTTATTTTTGAAAATCTACACCATCTTAAGACAGAGAGAGCTCATGTCTCCCTACACTGACAGATTATATCCTGCTACACTTCATTTCCACAACTGAAATATATCTACATTAGAACATTATTCTATGGCATAAAAGATCTTGTTAGGCAGCTCTTGACAAAAACAGTAGTAATTCAAGCTTGGCTGAGAGAGGCTCTGGACTCTGAAACACTCGATAAACAGACTTACTTGATAGTCTAACGTCACCCTTAAAAAAGAAGGCAGATTATTTTCCAGTGAGCTGCTGCTCTTCTGGCTTTTCTTGACAGTACTATAAACAACATGTTCCTCTTCTGGTGTGTGATCCACACACTGTTAAATGCCACAGCCTATACAGAGATGTGGCACCTAGCTTACTTCACATGGAAGGAGACTAACTTAGCAGAGTGGTTACTTCATTGATCACAGGACCTTAACAGTGCTCTATTCATGCTCATCTTGCCTTACTCCAAACTGTCCAGACAAACTCAAGGGGTATTTTTTCCCACTAGCCCTCCACTTTCATTCTGCCAACCATGAGCTTTGCAGGGAGAAGAATGAGCTTTACTTTAAAAGCCACAAAATTCAGACACGCCAAGGGTTATGTGATTTTTGAGCTTCTCTTGCACAACATCATTAAGAGAATTCTGTGTTAATGATTGATGTTGTTTTCTTTGAACATGTTGCAAAGTTCAGTAGAGGGTATGGTCAGGTCACTAGCAAACTGTATCTTTTGGGAAGTGATGTATATGGTCAAGGCCCATACCTCTTGACATTAGAAAACTTTGTGCCTGTGGGGAAGTGAAATACAGATGTAAAATTCCATCAAGCAAGGACCTTCCCTTCAAGAAAGGGCATCACAAACCTCAGGGAGTGGTACCTCTCAGCTTTGAACATGTAGGACATCAGGTTAGGCACTGGATTGATCTTACTTATAAACTGATGACTGTCAGACATAGCTGATGAAGCCGACACTGTCGTAGTTAATTTACTTTACTTTCTACTTTGGTGTCATTCTTTTTGTTGTTAGCAGTGTTACAGGTCTAAAACATTGTGTTTTGGACATTAAACATAAGGGGAAAAAGCATGCCATACCTTCTGCACAATGGTTGTGGCCAGCTCTTCTATGAGGTCCTCCTTGTGCTCCTGCAAGTAACAAGCTTCATTCTGCTTGTCCTGCAGGAAAACGGATATCTGTATTTGCTAAAATCACATAAAAACAGCTTTCTCACAAAAAATGTATAGACTGGGAAATGGGTAATATGCCCTATTGGCACTGTGGGAAGAAATGACAGGCACTTAAAAGTGCATGTCACCTTCTGGAATGCAATGTGCGTCTTGGATACCAGTTCATAACACCCATGCCCAACTCCTTAGGTATATCATGAGACAGTGGCTACTTAATCATGTTTTCGTTTATACCACTACCCAAATGAAAAGAAACATGATTGTCCTGTTTAAATTAATACTTTTTTTTTTAAAGTGTTACCAGGCTGTCACTGTAGGTCTCTGCCTTAGAAATAGCTTCTTCCACTGCTTCCTCTGCAACACGTAAGGCCACAGCAAGGGTATCCATCATGCTGTGTCCTAGATGAAGAATAAGATAAAATACCATGTTCTTTATATATGTACATTTTGCAAAAAGAGCTCCAAAATTCAGACTCATATTCTGGACACATATTCAAATCTTAAATTGTTCATGAAAAAGTTATTTCCTCAATCCATAAATATGCAGAGTGAAATAAAAAAGACAGAGAAATTTATTGCAATCTCTAAGTTTCTGCTTAAATGTAAATCTTAGATACAATAAAACATGATATATTTTATGTTGCTTATTTTAGACTGCAGCAAAATAGTTTGGAGGAAATAACTGAAAGAAAATTTGTGAAGGTCCTATAAGCAGGAACAACAAAATTTAGGAAAGAGAATGAAAAAAATATATGAGCACAGGAAAGGAAATGGGAGGGAAGTAAAAAAAAAACTGATGTAGTATATGATAGAGATAATTCATGCTATTTATGTATAAAATATTGTAAAATCCAAGCTATGTCTTTGACCACCCGGCTGGGAGCAGAGTCTTATGTTTATTCAGTTAGTTCCCAGAAAACGTTAAGATGTTAAGATAATATCAAGTCTGTTAACGTATGAATAAAACCTTCCCACTGACTTCTCTGGAATGTCAGGGCTACTCGAAAGGGACCTGCACCTGGGAGATTGCATCTACCATACTGAAGCACTGGGCACCACTCTGCCGCATGTGACACTCTGCTACATGTGAATGCGGACTCTTCTGAAGTGTTCAGAAAACCATCTGGACTCACTTTTGTCTATTCCTGCACATGTATGGCCCCAGTTCTACATGTGAAGGGACACAAAGGAACATTCGGTCATCTCTCCTCAGGCAGAATAAACTGTATAAGCTCGCTGCATGAAGCAGTTGGGGTGAACCACCGGGGAGATGCTGACACTTTGTCGGTCTGATCCAGGTTCACCCAGCGCCGGTACCGGGGTTGACGCTGCCTTGGCTGTGGTGGTTTTTTTCTCGAAATTCTATTTTGTTAATGATCTAATAAATCATTGCTAAATTTTCTTATAAATTTGGTTTCCGATTTGATCATTTATAACACTGATCATTAAGAAAATCACACTAGAATAGGCATGTAGTAAGTGTAATGCTGAAGCAAGATGTCCCAGCATGGTACACAAGAGTCTTGCTGAATGATTCAGCCAAAACATTGTTGGACCTTTGGACAAGGTTTCCCAGAACTCTAAGCTACTTGCCCAGTAATTCAAAATGTAAGGACTACTTTTCAATCAAATGAGGTTTTAGTAGCATACCTTCTGTCTGTTGGTAGAAGGTAGAGTCACTGCCACAAATGCTTCCTTCATTCTCAAAGCTTCCTTCATACAAACTTCCTTCTGCTAAAAAGGACAAAATCATGTGTTACTATAAGAAGCACCCATTAACAACCAAGGCATTATTAGATTAGAATATTCACTCAAGATATGGTGGCACTGCACACAATGAGGGATAACTGGAAAATTCCTCCTCCTGTTGCTGTTGGATAAATCATGACTGCAGCAGCTTTTGTACAAAACATGAGTGCTTTCATATCAAAGACTTCTCATTCATTTTGAATAGAAAAAACTATTACTACAGTAAAAAAGAAAAAAAGAAGCTACCAGGCATAAAACTTACATGGCAGAAGTTAAGTATAGGGAATTTGACTTTACTATGACATTTGGTGTAGAAATAGATTCTATGTTTTAAAGGGCAATGCTGTATAAATAAAGCAAAACCCAGACACCTATACTAGTATTTATCTTCAAAGGGAACAAAAGGTTTACCTAAGAGTCACAGGGATAGCAGAAGAAAGTTAGCAATGACATTTAGACTCAAAGGCCTTCCTTAGAAAGGTCCCACCGAGAGTGCATATGCCACTGCAACTCATCATTGCATTGTTCACACTTCCATTCAAGCACCCATTCACTGAGACTATGGCTAAAAAAAGGCAATACATCATATGAAAGTTGGGGAGCATCCCTGGCCACAGTTTTTACTTTCATTGTCCCACTTGTGCCCTAACTGAAACAAGATTTGCTTGTCCTCACACAAATTTGTTCTCAGTTGTTAAGGAATCTTCTCAAGAAATGCAAATTTTTTACCCAAAAAGGAAAAACAGTATTAAATCACAATTTAATAACTAGGTTGCTTGTTCCTAGAAGCTTTTATGTCAATTTTCATAATAAACACCTAAAATTTCCACTCAGGACTAGAGAGTTTACTTACCATCCTATACTTACCATAAAAAGACAAAGGAAGGACTATGGAAAAGTAACAGTCTCTTTACAAATTTTGAAAGAATTACAAGAATAAATTATCAGGTTCAATAAATCCAGTGAAATGCCAAATATTCAGCTAGTTGCGTTCTAGTAACTTGCTGAATTTACCAGTATGACATCAAGCTTTACTTCTTCAAACCCATTTTCTGACTCCAATCACTCTTCTTATGGGGTGGGGCATTACAAGAGCATAGTTAGGAGTGAATCGTGTCATCACTTAAAAGGTTGATGCCAATACTTTATCAGTATCTTTTACCTATTTACAAACATCAATACAAAAATAAAATGTGGCCAGTTTCAGATCCTTAAGCAAGCAAAACTCTAAGTAAGGAAATGTCAGTTTTGGTCAACATGGATACTGAATGTATCTCATGTTAATCAAATTTTGCTTCAAACACTGCAGGAATATGCCTATGGTCAAATGTTGAATGCAAAATTATTTTATCATTCTTTGACTACTCAGAACTGTGAAAAATGTGGGGACACAAGCTAGAATATAAACTGCAATTTACTTTATAGACAGTTCTTCTGTATCAGTGACATAATTAAAATTAAACATTGTTTTAATTCTTAAACAGCTCTCTAGACACGTCATACTTTCTCTCTCCACTGAGGTATTTCTTTCACAAAGAAGAAAATTGTGTTTAAAAAACTCTCTTGAAATAATCTCAGAATTTCGATTGTCTCAGCTTCTGTGCTAAAGCAGACAAGAATAAATCTTATAAGAAATCAACACAGCTGTTCTTACCTATTGCATCAGGACAAAGTCCACTCTCCAGTCTATGCTTCTTGTACAAGTTCTTCAGGACCTTGGCACTTCCAAAACACTTAAAGCGGCTTTTGACATTATTATAGTACCAATCCAGAGATTGGGTCCTTAGGAGCCTAAAACAGAAAAATAAACTACATATTTGGAATGGTTCTACAACAAATAAATGTGGGAAAAAATATTTTAGGCCTCAGATCACAAACCTATTAATTTCTGGATACTTTCTTTATTGTTTGTACTTTGCAAGTGTCTGGTATACTACAGCAAGGAAAAAACCCATTTACTTATGGTTAAGCCATAAGTAAATATCTTTTTCACATTACTCAAGGGTTTATTTGGTTTTGGTACTATCAGACGAGGTTGTCTCACCTTTTACATTATAATGCTCACACTACAACCTCTTATAAAATACAAACAAGCCTTGAAACAGCACAGGACTTAAAAACAGCCTTCATTTACAGAAATTTACAGATAATGTAAGAACACAAGCCCGTCAACGTGCCACAAACCCCCTCCATTTACATAGAAATACATCACTGCTTTTATCTGGGGAAAACAATAGAGCAGACAAAGCCTAATAGAGGACCTCAGAGCAGAATGAGCTGAAGTTTGCTTTCTCACCTTCCATGGGAAACTTCACTGACAAAAGTAATTCATCTTAACAGACTTGTCCCCAGAGCTCAGACTCTTTATAAAGCCATGAGATACTGGCAACCTCTGTATTGTTTCCAGTGTGGCATGTGGCAACTTGCTCCACCTGTACCTTCACCAGTGCATGGAGAGAACCTGTGCCACATTCCCAGGCAAAAACAACCTCAGGTGACTGCAGGGAAATCCACGGCAGACCTGTACATTTCCTACTGAGGATGTCACTGGGGGGGATCCTAGGGTTCCACCTATAAATTAAAGCTGATTTATTCTTAACAGCAGATTTAGGAGAACAAAAGGCTGAAGTCAGTGCCCAGTGTCAATATATGAACCCCTAAAGAAATTGTGTCACCACCAGGAGGGCCAGACTCTCAGCATTTCCAGACTTCAACATGTATAGATGATTTAGCCTCATTTTTTAAACCCAGGGCCATGTTGAAAAACAAAATAAAATTACAGTCTCACTGTCACCTTTACATTTTCCTTCAGGGACTCTGAACTTTTCTTTGTAAAGTGCAAGGCAAGAGACAATGAAAACAATTTTTGTTTTGTCACCTACTGACAGACTAGAAATGTAGTTCTTAATCAGCGCCACCAAACCTCAGGAGATTCTCAGTAACCAACAAACAAACATGCTGAGCCTGGGGGTTCAACTATGTGTTTCCAGTCTGAATTCAGACTTTTAAGATAAAAATGAACATCCACTTCATGAAAAGCAGAACATCATGATATAGTCCACTTGTCTGTCATCACCAGAAAGTGCTTAGTAGAAAACACCAGCAGTGGGAAATTAAAAATAAAAATCACTGAAGCCTATCATCTTCAAACTGTGAACCCTTAAAGTTTCATTAGCTGCTCTACAGAAGACAACTGAAGAAAAAGCTCATAATGGAATAGAAGTCTATTTTTTCTGCATTCTGTCTCAGCAATTAGATGCAGGAGAGATGTTTACAGATAATATAAGAATATTAGCCCTTTAATATCTATTTGCAGTAATATCCCAAGCCTAACTATGGTTCCCAGGAGGCTGATTAGTTCCAATATTCACCACTGTACAAATATTACTAACATGTGACACGGGCAAAAATCCTTTGTTGGGGTTTTTTTAGGAAAACATCCTTACATGTGGTGCAGAAACGACTCTGATGAAACAAAGTATCCAGAGCACAAACAACGGGAAGCATGCCTTGGCCTGTCTGTGAAATAAAGGGTTTCTGAATCCCCATAATGTTGCCACTAAGAGATCTGCTATGATGCCTGTCCAAGACCTGACCCTCTGACCAAAGCTTCACTGTGGTGCAGTGATGAATCTGAATGGAGGAAAATTTCTCTCCCAAACCTGCAATTCTTCGGCATTTTGAGAACCTGCCTCCTTTGTGGGCAGGAAACAATTGCTCTCATATAAACTACATCAGAATACTGTCTTCTACTCCCTGAATTTCATTCCCTTTTGAACCTGACAGGGTAAGATTTCAGTCAATAGCACAGAGTCACAATCATTATGAAGGATAAAACAACATGACTGGTTGGAACTGGCTTAGCAGGAGCTATTGACCAGAAAGGATGCTCTTCTGCCCAGTAAATGCAGTGTTCTCCATGCTGTCCACAAAAAAAGTATTGCAGCACCAACACCACTAGGGGACTCACAGCACTGGGAGTCCTCAAATGCATTGTTTTAGGGCTTTGAAGATCCTTACTAACTCCCTCAGCATATTTACCAAGTAACCTCAGCTGCACCAGCTCAAAATGCTAAACTTGTCATCTTGGAAGCCAAGTAGACCCAATTCTTAATATTCAGACAGAGTGACAAGATTAAAAAAAAAAAAAAAAAAAAAAAAAAAGAGTCACCTGTCTTTGAATGCTCTGTGAGTTAGGATAGCCAGTTATGAATGCTGACCTGGCAGCTTGGGAAAACAAAACATGTGATTCATTGCAAGCTTGCTTCCTCATCTTTTTCCCTGTGTCACCATGTTTTTCTGGGTTTGATCAATACTTCTTGTATAAAAGCAGAAAGCTAACAGCACTGATTTCTTGATGAGGTGAGAATGCTTTGCAACTAAAACAGGTTTTTTATTTCTAATGATAACATTTTCTGTATGTGGCTTTGGAAGAGTCAAAAGGATAGAGATTATATATCTCAAAGCAACCATGAAAGGAGATGCTTGCCTCTTTGTACTAGTTAATCTGGTGTAAACACAAGGATTTTTTTATTTCTTTTTTTTTTTTAGGTTTCCTCGTTGCTGCAGGATTAACACATTGTGAGTAATCTAATCATTTCATGCTTCTCTCCTATGAGCTGGAGAGCTACCAACACTCCAAATCTATGCCTAGGTCCTGAACATGTTTTATAACAGATTACAATGCCTCCTCTAAAGCTTTTCAGCCTCTTAACTTTCACATAAGTCACAATGTCCCTACTGATTCCTCCTACGGAGAAAGGATTTGGAGAAGAGAGAACTTCTCTTATAGATACTAAAATAAAGGACTCACTCAAAAGAGAAATAAGAGCATTTTCACCTCATTTCAAAATCCTTTAATGCTGACCTATATTTTAAAGCTGTTTCCTGCAAAAGCGGTCCATGACTCCAGAATAATGAAAGTCTATGACAGTGCTAGCATTAAATTGTTGGAATGAAACACTTCCCTTATTAGCCTTAACAGAAAGTATGCAAGTTCTCTCTGTGAAATAAAAAACTCACACTTAAAGGATATTATTTGTCTGAATTTAAAGAAGCAGGACTGCTTGAAGCCATTTTTTGCTTTTTCTGGGCAACAAAGACCGTTCTGTCTTTATTGAAAAATAGCTTTAAACAGTAAGGACATTATTTATGTTATATAATATTGCCACGGATTTGAGCTGCATTTTGAAGTGCTTTTGGCAGAGGAAAATACTGTGATTTTAAAATTCTGTCTTATTAGAAAGTGTGAAAGCCAGAAAAATGCTTTTGATTTAAGATTAAAACTTGAACAAGTACTATAAAGTCCGTCCTTTTTTAGTGCCACAATGTCTTTGTCTTAATCAAGCAGCACCATGAGAAGGGATAAGCCCATTAAGATCTTTACAATTTTTTTTCAATATACTTCTCACCTGAAGCACCCAAATAGTAAAGTTCTAGCCTTTCCTTCAGGAAAAAAAGTACACCAGCTGTGTTGGGAAGTGGGGACATGAATGACCTTCCTCATTATCAGTGATGACCAGAAGACAATCACATGAAAGACATCACTCACACAGTACTCAAAACATAGGAGACTCTTTAGTGTCTGATTTACCACTTTAATTCTTTTTTCTTCTAAAAAGTTGAGAGGTTTTACTTCGTCTAAAGGCAGTATGAAGCTTCTGCAAGTACTTTTCTCTAAAAGGTAGAACCAATTTAATGTGTATGACCTTAATCCCTATTCATAATACAAAAAAGTGTTTTACAACAACATTTTTCCATGTTTTCATTTTCCCATGAACTCTGTGAGAAGTTTCCCCCCACAAGATGAACTAGTCACTTACTGAGCTGCAGTCTAGTTTCTCTAAGTCAGGAGGTACTTCCTGAAATCTTACAAACACTTCATTTGTCAGGGTGAACACATAATCACTTGGATTTTCCTTGTACTGACTTCCACTGGAAAATGAAGCCTCCTTTTTTCGTTTTCATGCCTGCCTTAAGAGATCTTCAATAGTTTTGTGCTGACACTCAGTCCAGTAAACTATTCTAGTCCCTCAAATGGCATCCTGTGCTTCTCCTACTGTGCCCCATAACCTACTACAACATCCAGCCTCAGGTCACTCAAGATCTGCATTCAGCAAGTGATTAGTTTCACTCAGGAATGGAACTGCTTTACAATTCTTGGACTTCTTACTTTTGCAGATGTGACAATTTTTTTAAAATTAAGAAAATTTAAAAGGCCAATCAAACCCCTCCCTGAAATACAGGACTATGCACGTGTCAGAACTGCTGATCTGTGGGAAGGCTCCAAAGCACAACACAACCACATCAAACTTAAGAAATACTAGAAATGCAAATTGTCAGCAGAAGAGCAACATCAATGTTTAGTTTTCACTCTTTGAAAGCACTCCCTGGGCTCACTGAACTGCCTGGAGGCTCAGCAGGAGCCAAGTGATGGAGGGGGTGGGAGCCAGGATAAGACTGACTACTGAGCTCTGTCAGAGCTGGGACACTGGTGGACATGACTCCCCCAGCGCAGACCTGCTCAGCCAGATGCTGGGCTGGAGAAAGAACCATGCTGCAGTTAAACATTCCTGCCTTTAACCCTGATGTTCCCCCACAGATGGGTGACTGCTGCTGTGGGACTGACATCCTTGAAGCCTTGGTCGCTCCTGGGGAGCTGCACATCCATCTCCCCCTGGCTGCAGTAGTGCCATGTCATGCATCAGTGCTCGGGAAACTCCAGCTACTACAGACTAAGCTGTGACAGGCACGCTGCCTGTCACAGCCCCTGCCATGGGCTCTCTCCCTGT